ACTATAAGTATATATTTTGTTTTTAATATCAACAATTAATTCATATTTCTTTGGTATTTATTTGATTTCAAGTAGTTATGAAAAGTTTTTTTGTTGAAGTTGTAACTTTATTGACCAACTTCAATTCGACATATAGGCACAGTCTACAATGTTATATATAATAAAAACAAATTATTTTTTCATCATATTTTCAAAAAAAATAATTGAATATTCATTTTCCAGATGATTAATCAACTTCAGCTGAAGTATTCATAGTGATTCTTGTAAAGTCATTATTCTTATGAGATCTGTTTATTGAATTTAGAGTTGAGAAAAATTTTACTTTTGCTATCAAACTACAAAAATAATCGTTTTTCTCTTCTTCAGTGAACAAATATTTTCTTTTATTGAGAAATAACTTCATATTACATTGTCTCTTCCTATTACAATAATCTTCAGAACATCAGAATTTTATTATTTTTATCAAATGTCTCAATCATGTTCTATAATCAATTGCACCCGAACATCACGTGGATTGTGCGATTGCTGTCAACAATACCTTTGCTTACAACATTTAACGGAACATAATGATTTACTCATTTCTCAACTGAACCCTTTAACCGATGAAATTAATACGCTTGCTGATCGGCTTAGCAGACTAAACGTTCAAAAAATAATTGCGGATAGTCGTCAAAAACTTGAACAATGGCGTGAAGATTGTTATAAGAAGATTGATTGTTTATTTGAACAAAAATGTCAAGAACTTAATCAACTTATTAATGAAAAAATTGGCCAACAACGAGAAGAACTCAATCGAATACATTTGAAGATAACTGAATTGATCAATGCACAAGAAACAACTCGTCAAGATATAGATTTATTGACATCAACTATTCATCAATTCTCAACAAATATGAACAATATTGAACAAACATGTTTTACAATTAATATTCGTTCATTACTAATAGATGACACGCTTGTTTGTATTAAGGAAACGACTGAAAAAGAGCTTGATCTATCAATTCTTTCACCTGTATACAGAACGATTCATCGCCCTGAGAGAAGTTTTCGATCACTAACTGGCAATGATCGATACTTATTGATACATCAACACCCGAATTTATGTTTATTTGATAGAGAAATAAATATAGTTAAACAAGCATTATGGTCTTACGATCCAATTCAGGACATGTGTTGGTCATCAACATTAGATCGATTCATCGTGCTTGGAAAAAATAATATCTATTTCATCGATGAATATACAATGTCAATTGAAAACGTGCAGAGAATTAAAAAACAAGATTGGGGATCATGTACATGTTCTGATACAGTTCTCTTTGCATGCACAAATGAATGGGGTTCATCTATAATGGAATTCGAACTATTTCCAGCGATCGATATGATTAAAGAATGGAAATATCCTTTTACATGTGCCAAAGATGAAACTATCTGTGATACTGTTTACAACAGCGGAAACCTCGCTCTGATGGTTATGAATAAACTCGAGAAATCACTGCGCATTGAATTGAGATATGGAAAGACGCTCCATCGCATTTGGTTGCTTCAGCTCGATATTAGATGGATCGAAAATATAACATTTCGTTGTTGTTTACTGACTTGTAATGAATGGCTCATTGTTGACTATGAAAATGGACGTCTGATTCAAATTACAAAAGATGGAACAATAAAGAAAACCACAAAATATCATTCGATTCCGTATCGTGCTACTATGTTCGATCGAGATAAGCTAGTAGTATCGACTATGAGTGATGTAAATGTACATCTAATTCAATGAAATGCATCATTGCTTTTGTTTAATGTTTTGCTGTAATTATTCAACAAAGAACTTCAATTAAAAATAACTAACCGCATATTCAGAAAATAATATAATGTAAGATTGATTTGATAATCGAGATTAGTCAAGTTGAAATATTTTTTGATTCTCTTATATTTAAATAAAACATCAAAATTATTTTTTCACTTAAATGTTTGAAATATAGATCTGAAATCGTCATGTCAAGAAATCACAATCACCCATACTAAACATCAAAAGTAATCAACATTAAGAATAAAACTTCTTAGATATAAACTGTTATTATGACTATGTACTAGTAGTTTGTTCTTTTTCTGAACAGTTTAAAACTTTGACAAACATTTTAGAACAAATATATCTGCTATAGAAATAATTAATTGTACCTATCGGGATATTTTTTCAATTGAGACAAAGTATTTATAAAGTTGTATGATTGAATGTTAATTTGAAAACTTTTGTTGTCTGAAAAAGGTCTCCAACTAAAGCACATCGTTTTCGCTGGCATGCTGCGTGCGTGTAGGGAACCTTATTCTAAGAAAAAGTCTAAGAAGATTGGAGATAATGCAGCCTCTTTCAATGCATATGAATATATTCGTTCTTGCACAAAGAGGGAAATTATATCAATAAACTTCGTGTAACTCAT